ACCAGCCTTCGGTCCAGCAGCCTTTCCATCCTTCACTTCACCTTCACTCTTTACATCCACACTCACAACTGCCTTCTCTCCTGCCTCGCCTTCTGCTCCCTTCGCAACGGCACCCGACTCCGCCTTAGGCGCTCCCTCCACTGCCTTCTTTGGCAACACAGCAGCAGCCTTCTTTGGAAGCACCGCAGGACCAGCCTTCGGTCCAGCAGCCTTTGCATCCTTCACTTCACCCTCACTCTTTACATCCACACCCACAACTGCCTTCTCTCCTGCCTCGCCTTCTGCTGCCTTCGCACCTTCTTTGGCAACACAGCAGCAGCCTTCTTCGGAAGCACCGCAGGACCAGCCTTCGGTCCAGCAGCCTTTCCATCCTTCACTTCACCCTCACTCTTCCCATCCACACCCACAACTGCCTTCTCTCCTGCCTCGCCTTCTGCTCCCTTCGCACCTGCACCCGACTCCGCCTTCGGCGCTCCCTCCACTGCCTTCTTTGGCAACACAGCAGCAGCCTTCTTCGGAAGCACCGCAGGACCAGCCTTCGGTCCAGCAGCCTTTCCATCCTTCACTTCACCCTCACTCTTCCCATCCACACCCACAACTGCCTTCTCTCCTGCCTCGCCTTCTGCTCCCTTCGCAACGGCACCCGACTCCGTCTTGGCAGCAACCGGAAGCGCTTTTTTCGGCAACACGCCCATCGACTTTTTGGGTAACAACGCAGGACCAGCCTTCGGTCCAGCAGCCTTTGCATCCTTCACGTCGCCTTCACTCTTCCCCTCCACTCCCACCACTGCCTTCTCGCACCGCAGGACCCGGAAGCGCTTTTTTCGGCAACACGCCCATCGACTTTTTGGGTAACAACGCAGGACCAGCCTTCGGTCCAGCAGCCTTTCCATCCTTCACTTCACCCTCACTCTTCCCATCCACACCCACAACTGCCTTCTCACAACTGCCTTCTCTCCCGTCGAGGGTTCTGCTGCTTTAGCACGTGCACCGGACTCCGCCTTAGGCGCTCCCTCCACTGCCTTGTTTGGCAACATGCCAGGAAGCTCCTTGGAAAACTGCTCAGTTGCTCGCTTTGACTCAGAGAATATGAGCTCCTTGGAGCGGCTTTGTTGTACGTCAAGCAGAGGGATGACGCTTGGGTCTCCGTTGTGTGACGCGGGTTTCTCCAACGCGTCGTCAACATACGCGTCTCGCACCCGAGGCGCCAATCCAATTATTGGTGTCCCCGTAGTGTTTTCGGGTGTTGGTGGTGAATTGGCATCTGACGCTGTTGGACTCTTGCTCCCTGTTAATGTTGTCCAGGTGTGTTGCTGCTGCAGTGGTTTTCTGTCTATCTTTATGTCCCGTCCCCTAGCCGAGCTTTCCAAAGCTGTTGTGCTCTCAAACTGTGTCCACGTTGAGGGGGATGTCTCGGCAAAACTATCTGCAACTTCTGCGGCAGCACCCTTCAAACCTTCTATCGCGGGCTTCCTTAACTGGGATTCGTCATGCGGTCTGCCAGCTTGTTCGTGTGGCGCCGCTCCGAATGGTAGGGAAAATCCTGCAATGCGACATACACGATTTCAAAGTGATTCAAAAGTCTGTTTGTAGTCTCGTGGTTTTAATGTTCCCTGTGGAGAATACCTATAAAACCATCATGCCCTGCTGTTACCAAGTTTAAACGTTCCTGCTGAGACCACCGGGAGCTCTCGCAACGCTTTCATGCATGTGCAGCCCAAAACAGCTAAGTGTGTTGCTTACCGGGAACATGCTGGTCTCCTTGAACAAGGGCATTGCGACCAGAGGCTTGGTCCTCGGTTTCCAGAGGCTTTGGCTTGTCGAAGGATCTAACCGCCACAGCCTTCTGGCTGTCGCTCCCATCTTTGTCCTCTAAGTTAGAAGGTTCCCTACCAGTGTTTACGCCAGTCCCTGCACGCACAGGCAAGTTATTGTCACTGTCTCAACATCTCAAACAAAGGACCGTTCCAGCCACCAAAGTGGAAGTGCGCCTTTCCCATGAATCATTTCAATCCCCAGTTTTCTTACTTAAATTCGTGATGCCCGGTATCATCTCGGAACGGTCTTTGACAGAAACGTCGCCGCTATCTGGCTCCTGCGAGCAACGGCATACAAAACAGCAATTAGTACAAGCTTGACTGGCACGAATACCACACGTAGCAGGTGCGTCCCTCTCTGGCTGTAGGGCCCCTGTCCTGCGGAGCCTTGCGGAACGTTTCGTTAGGGGACCGCCAACTTTTGGGACGACGCACCATTTTAGAGGCAGACAATTGTATCTGCAAGTCTTCTATCCTTTTTTGAATCGATTCAACGATTAATAAGAGTCTACGCGCGCACGTTAGAGACAGACCATATTGGTACACGTTAGTTGCAAGGTTCAGATGCGAATGGGTTGCACTATGCACAAGAGTTAAACATCACAAGTTTCTGCATCGTTTCACAGTGTTTCCCTACCTCTCATTCTCCTGCTTTAGGTGTTTAGTTTCCTCATTAAAGCCTTCCTGGATGGCTTTACAGTGTTCCCGCGCCGCCTGCAGAGACAGATAATATTCACTAACACATTCGCGCACATATGGCGGTGCCAGCAGTTCAACTGCCCCGCCCACAACTGATTTCTTCTGAATACACCTCGGAGTGGCTATCGGCATGTGTCTTTTGTTTCCCCACCTTTAGCTCCATAGCCAAAAGCCGCGAGCGGGAAGACAGCATCTGCCCGTCGAGTACGTCGCGGAGGGAAGGGTCCAGCTCTATGGGTTGTTGGTCCTCCGTAACATTTTCAACATTTCGTCGTTCACTGACCCTTCCACTCTTCATGCCTGTTTCGTCATAAGCCGCAACGGGATTAGAAGCAGCTGCTGCATGCACCCGAGGCAGAGGCGGTGCCACGCTCTGGGATCGTCCATGCACAACCAACACAGGCACCGGTGCTCTCGAGACGCTTCCAGAGAGACTTCTTGCTGCAGATGAAGGGGAACTGCAGGCATTCATCCGCTGGTCGGAAAAGGGAGTCGCGTTCCCCGCGCTGCTGGCAGCATTGGACCTCAGGTATCTGCAGCAAAGCACCAGTAGCGGCGCATCGGCTTCCCAATGACATTTCATATAGGAGAGGCATAGACAATCGTGCAGTTCACGACGACCACATACAACGCAGGACCCAACAAGTGTTTGTAAGTACGGCGTAGAGGCGCCCAGGCTAGTGTGGGTAAAGGGAATTATCTAGGGCTAAAATTGGTCTGGCTGGGTGCAGAAAATAGGTTGGAATGCAACTCTGGCAAGGGGCTAACAAGGTGCACCGAAGGGGCAGACCGTGGACTCACAGTTCTCCACTTGCACCCACTAGGCATGGCATCCTCCCTCCACCCTGCAGCGCACAGATGGACATCCAGAGATCTCGTGAAACCCAGTTCTCTCTGGTTGCTAGAATTCAACATACAAATGGCAATGCACTCAAAGAAGATGGCAACGGGCAAATGCTGCGGAAAGCCACCGGAATTTGCAACACTCGGTGTCCACCTGAGAGGCACCTCCTGCAGCAAGAAGTACCAATGAGGTTTAGGGTTTCATTTAGTATGCAACTAGTGCAAATGGCAACATTAGAGTGATGATTTGTGTCGTCGGGGCAGCTAAAGTTGGCAGCATATACTCACGCTGTTCTGCGCTGCGAACGTTGCGTATGGCGCTGCCGCTTGAGCAGCTGCAGCAGCTCCTGCTCCTGCAGCTCCTCCTGCTTGTGTTTCTGCGAACGCTCCAGAGGATGGAGCCGGTACGATGTATGCAGGGAATTGGCCGGAAGGTACTACTCCGGACACGGACTGTGCGGTGGTTATCACGGGAGTTTGAAGTTGCCCTCTATAAACTGGAGCTATGATTGGCCTGTTCAAAGGGACGACTGCAGCCCTCACAAGCGGATACTGAGAAGAAGGCCGCGACTGCTGTGCTTGCATGGACGAAGAGACCTGCGCAGCACCGGCGGACGCTCGTTGGCTGTCTAGCGTCCGACCGCGCTCCTGCAAGCAGGCCACTGCTGTTGAAGAGAGAACAAGTGGAACGGGATGAATGAAACCTGGCTGGGTCTGCATACTGGAGGCGGCGCGGCCAGGAATGCGATCACTGGAAACCGTGCGGCTTGATTTGGCGCCTACTGAAGCTTGTTGGCCGGGGGCTCTCACGGGGACGCATGTTTGCTTGGGATCCGTCAAGTTGGGAGCTGGAAGCTTGGGGGCTTTAGGCGCGCTGAGCCCCAAGAAGACCTTACAGGGGAGCATGCAGTCACTGCAGTTAGCACACTGTTGGCTGCGGGTGGTATCCATGGCGCTGGCAAGGGGCCCCTGGACCCAGGGAGACCCTTGGTGAGATGCTGCAACCTCAGCTGCATGTGCTAGATCTAGTTGTGGAACGTGACTCCCATTGTTGTTGCTGTTGCTCCTGTTGCTCTGTTCGTACGTCAAAGGAGCAGGGCTGGCGTTTGGTGGAAGGGAGCCTGCGTTGTGGGTACTTCGGCTAGAAGGTCCCATTCTTCTTAAAAGCTTTTATTTAAAGCAGCCGCAGAAGTCGCACAGGAAGAAGCGTCGAGCACGATCGATGTGCAGCCTCTCCGGGGACAGCTGGCTAGGGTGCCTTACGACTGACCGAAGCGATCGTCCCTGGGACGGCGAATGAGCCCTCAGGCGGGAAAATGAATACACTCTCTAACAAATGCGTGAATTGTGTACCATATGAAAGAAATATGCAGTTTTCGGCCTCAGGAAACAGAGCATCGAGGGCCTCGGGCAACACTGTGAAAACTGGACTGTCCACGCCACTGGTGCTCCGCCTGCTGCGGCCACGGCCTCCGCCCAAGAATCCCCCCAGCGGAGAAACTCCTATAGATTTTCCTTAAACCAAGAAATCATAATTTGCTTCAACAACACAGAAAACAGCAACTATGGTAGTGAAACGGTAACTCACAAAGGAGGGCGGCACACAAAAGTACCACTGCTGCTGGCCAGCTGCTTCAATCGATGCAGAAGGCAGGACCTGAGGGATACCGAGAAAAATCCAGATTTCTCAATTAAAGGCAAATGTATTACACTGCATATGCATGAAATATGTTTCCACTCTACAGCCGGCTTGTTGCAGCTAACGCAATCAGCGTATGGGGCAGGCGAGCTTTGGGCCGTTGAATATACGCTAACCGGCGACTGTAGAAAGAGACCAAATCTACCCTTAGCGGTTGGCCCAAATCCCAGTAGGGCATCATGGATGACCCTCAGGAACCGGAGGGTTCGCATATCCCCATCCAAAAAGTCGCCAAAATATACGTGTGGGAGTGCCAGCCAGTAATAGTGGTCCGTATACATGTCTGTGAGTAGGTTTGTTAATAACGCTCTGTTGGAGTTCAGAGTTTCCCAGGGAAAACAATACTAACCTTCCTTTCAACGTGCGTGGGGAGGAAACGCCAGTGATATTTCAAAGTTCCAGTGGGTTTGGGGGACACGCGGCTGTAGAATCAATTTGTCACTGAAAACGAACCCCCGTGCTGCCAGACCGAATTTCTGGTGGCGTTGCTCCTTTATGCGTATGCATGAGGCCTCTTTTCTGAGAATTCTCCGACGAAAAAACAACGGCTTGATATGAGCGCCTGTTCACGACCCCCTCATTTCAACGCATTTAACGCAGAACTACAATCGAATAACCTAATCAGGGTACAGCAGACTTCTTCAATTGTCTACTTCTCTCCGTGCCTCGTAGATCATGCACATCCACAAAAGGAACTCGCCGGAATTGACACATAGCCTTCGAATAGGTCCTTTGTCGTAGTTTCGTGTGTCCGGTCCATTGGGCTTTTTCATTCATTCATTCATTCATTCATTCATTCATTCATTCATTCATTCATTCATTCATTCATTCATTCATTCATTCATTCATTCA